GGGCCTGGTACTGACTTGACTGGAAAGGCAAGGAAGGGCTTTTTAGGCCAGGCGGCTAGGCGGAAGGGGGCCTCACTTGGTGCTGCCACCTGCGACCACACCCCCCTCGCCCACTAGTGGCCCCCTCGAGCGCGAATGGGATCGAAGCCAGGCCATGTTCCCCCCATGTCTCGAATGCGCCATGCGACGCGTGTCTCGAGACTTGGGAGATACATCGGACAAATCTACCTACCAGTACCCGCCTGAGGAGGTACCTGAGGTGCCACAAGGTTCGCGGCCCTCTGCCCTGCTCGTCTTGTCTCCTCTCTACCTTACGAAGCTTTCCCTCCAATATCCCCAAACTTGCATGCTGCCTTGGTCGACTTGATAAGGGAACGAAAGCCTGCGCGATGCATGCTGCGTCTGCAACTTGCTCCCTCAATGTCTAACGGCAGGAAAGACATCACCGTGGTGCAGAATCTACGTCTGACTCGGCTCACACACCCATGATGAATACGTACAATCACAGCGTTTGCAGCGTCCATCACACACCCCTGGCTTGCCTGCCGACAGGCAGCCTGCACATCCCCTCGTCAGATTGATGCAGCTTCGCAGACCCTCAGCGACCCAACAGTCACCGATGATTCGCTTGCACAAAGTCGAAAGGTCGACTGGGCCATGTCGCTGGCATTGGCTGCCAAGTCGAGGGCGCAAAAGCTTGTCTGTGGCTCCACCGCCTTACAGGCCCGGATCTGAGCGCCGCCTCGTTGTCTGCCGCCGCCATTCGCAGGCATACTTACATGTACCAGTCAGTACCACAGCCCTGACGCCTGGCGTGTGACGAGGGACGAGGGACGACACGATCTGCTGCTGGGCCTGCGAAGGCCTGCCAACGCGGCCCAATCGCTGCTGCTGCACGGTTAGCTTCCGACAGAGCCGTTATATCCGTAGTGCGGCCCTGTCGGATAACGGCACAAAAGCAAGCAACGTCGACCCATGGCGCTTGATCCTTCTGGTAAGCACGTACCTACACTGCAGTCCTAGCGCCAAGTCACACTTCTCGGTGACACTTTGCTGCCGTCGGGGGAGCCTGGAGGGCAGCCAGAAGAACAGGCCGGTAGGAGGCACAAGACACGGCCCTGGATTTCCTGACATCGCTGGACGACGAGGCCCGACCGACTGGACAACCACCGCGGCGCACTTGTCCGGCTTTTGTGCACTGTTGTTCACCAAGTTGGGAACCCCTCTTTTGCCTGGCTCCCTTGCGCCCAATCCAAAGATGGCTCGACCTCTCTACGTCATGCCATACCGGGCGGTCGACGACCTACGAGCTAGCCAATGGTTCAGCTGTTTGCGCTCTCTGGGTCCCGATGAGCGGGTCCACCTTCGAGCTCGACAACGACGCCGACACCGAGACGCTCCAGACTTCGAGGGCCAAGGAAGGCTGAGGCAGGGCCCAGCCCATTCTTTCAGTCATGTCGATGCCTGGCTAGCAGAGCTTCCATTGAAGTGGTAACGGCTCCATTACGGTCCGCTGGTCTTGGCCGTCCTCCGCAGCGGATCTCATTGGGCTTGCGTTGCGGTGTATTGTAGCGTGGGGATAAAACACGACCTGGCAGAGGTCGCGCCATGAATGGCGTTGCGCCCTCGGACTGCACCTTGCCCGTCTTTCGTTAGAGACGTTCAGCTACAGCTACTTTGGGTTGCCCCTGGATGGTGCACGTGGTGTGGCTCGTGGCCATGTTTTTTGCTTATATCGACGTCAAAATTGACTTTACCGGATCGTGATACACCTTTCCCCGGCCACCTAATACTGTGAGCCAAGCGCTGCAGCGTATACGGATTTTTACATCATGAGTAGCATTCCTGGGGCAGCCTCTGGCTACGTTCTTTAGACGACTAATGCTTGAGCAGTTCTTCGAAAGTGAAAACATCTATGAAAGATCAAGTTCAAAACTATTGATTTATGAGGCTCGTAAGATTTATGAGGCTCGTGATGATGACTTGTCAACGCGGCCCAGATGGACATTACGCAGCCTTATGCGCGGGCTTCATGGTACTGGTCAGATTCAAGGCTATATAGTTGTTATCCTTGAATGGCACCAAATCGGTTGCTCGAGGACATGAGGCCTGTTGACATATCTGACCACCCTCGCAAGCCGGCCATCGTGCTCGATTCCTAGCCCTCAAGGGCGACTAGTCGCCAAGACGTCTGATTCCGGCAACCAGGCAGTACAAGACAGAGGACCGTTCCGTCTGGTCTAGATGTACTGAAAACTTGATGGTGCGTAGATTGCCCTAAGTGTTGCTGGCTGGCAACGCCTTCACCACTGTCGAAGCCTCATTCCAGGTCCCACCATCATTTGAACATGGCATTGTCCTGCCTCTCACACCCGCTGCGAGACGTGAGGGCCGCAGGGCACGAGACCTGCCGGAAGTTCACTTGGGGGTTGTCCGCGTTGAGCAACCAGTCGAAGCGCCAGTAGCACCCACTCTTGAGCGCCTCCGGGAAGGCGTCGCACTCGGCGCGGCTGCGGATGCCGCCGTACTGGTCGCCCCAGCCGTTGGGCGGCGCGTTGTACTGCGCCGTACAGGCGTTGTATATGCCGACTCCGCCGCCAGGGATCTGTTGTCTCTGGTCAGCGCTGTGACTTGCACTCCCGATTCCTGCCGTGATCCAGGGGGGTTTGAACGAGGGGTTGAGGAGGGACACGGAAAGCGATGCCCGGTATGCCGAATGTTGACGTCGCTCCGGAACGCAGCCAACGTCCTCCGATTTGGGTCCCCACCCTCCGGGACGGGCTCCGCTCCGAACACTCGGCCGCAGAGTACAAAACGCCCCCCCAACAAGAAACTCACCGCAAGGTCAAAGTGGTTCGAGCCGAGGTCGGCCCCCGTGTTCGTCGCCTGCACAACCATCTTCTTCCCAGCCACCGGCCCGCTCGTGAACGTGAGCTCGTAGCACGCGCAGCACCACGACGCCTCGTCGCCGCCCGCCACGCGCACGGCCGCCCACCCGTACGCGAGGTCCGCCGACACGGCCCACGGCGACTGCCCGCTGCACATGTAGGACGTGCCGCCGGCCTCGCAGCCCGAGCGCGCGTTGGCGTCGCCGAGCGGCCGGTCGTTGATGTCGCAGGTCGTGACCGGCCCGCTCGAGAGGGCCGCCTTGCCGGGCCAGGCGCACGAGGGCTTGCAGCAGTCCCAGTAGCGGGTTGTGCTGCCGCTGCCGGAGGCCTGGGCTGCTGTAGGCGTCAGGTGGAGGGCGAGGGGGAGGAGATGGGTCAGGAGGTTGGCGTGCATTGTGGCGAGGTGGTCAAGACTTGTCGTAATGGGAATGAAAGCGGTATGCGAGGAGTTATCTTGAACTACAAAGCTAGGTCGAGGTGTCTGCGTGTCAACAGTGTTTGCCATCATCGCAGGATGTCCCCCTTTTATACCACCTTCACAATGTCCTGATGCACTGATGAAGTCTGGTTCGACAAGACGAGAATCCCGGTTCCCTCTAAATTAACTTGCTCTCGGCCCAATCCTCAACCGCGATGAACCCACGCCAGCACACCTCCCGCCCAAGCCGCCATCCCGAGCGACACCAGCGCGGGCTGGCTCTCAGGTAGAGAGCTCGTGACGAGCACTGCACAGGAACCAACTCTCACGAACCTCCAGGCCGAGACATGACCAGCCCAAGAGGGAAACAAACACGGAGCAGGCTCCGAGCCATCGATTCATGGCCAGGTACGTGGCCACGGGTCCTTGTCAACGCCCCTGCTCGCCCCCCGCAATCTGTCCGGCGGGTGCCGTGACGCGCGAGGGGAGAGGGGAGCCGCCATTGTGGCTGCATCGGGACAGTGATCGGCAGACTGGCGGTTCGAAATTAAGTGGTGAGCCCAGACGGGCGGGAGGAGGGGCGCTGCGAGACTCTCTGGACGGCCGAGGCATGCGCGGGGGATAGTGTGATACCGTGGGTCCGGGGCCGGCGATGTGGTGTTCTAAGCTTCACCTGTACCATGGGCGATCGGTTTCTGCCTTCCTCTTTGAACGCGACGATGCCTCACTAGATCGTGGCCATGCTGATGTCCGCCCGACATACCTCCGGGACCGCGGCGTGCTACCGGCCGCTAGGGCCGAACATTCAGGTCCAAGCTCGACCTTGCCGTCCGTTAGTTACCACGAGCCGAGCAAGCTCCAAAGCATGTGACAATAGATCAAACCATGATATTTCTACTTCTTTTCGTCATTATTGAACATCTCATCATCATCCCGCGTTCCTCATTTCACCACCGTCATCCTCAACGCCTGCCGCCACGGCTGCCACCCCCTACCAGCGGCGCTCCTGGCTGTGGTTACGGCTTCGGTTGCGTTCCTGGCTGCGGTTGCGCTCCCGGCTGCGGTTACGTTCGCCGCTGCGGTTGCGCCCGTGCCCACCACCATAGCTCTCTTCCTGACGGCCGCCATAGCTCTCTTCTTGGCGTCCTCCGTAACCACCGCCACCGCCGTAGCTGCTCTGCTCCTCACGACCACCGTATCCAGAGCTCTCCTGACGACCACCGTAGCTGCTGTGCTCCTCACGCCCACCGTATCCAGAGCTCTCCTGACGACCACCGTAGCTGCTCTCCTGGCGACCTCCGTAGCTGCTCTGCTCTTCACGGCCACCATATCCAGAACTCTGCTGACGGCCACCGTAGCTGCTCTGCTCCTCACGCCCGCCGTGGCTGCTCTCTTGACGGCTACCATAGCTGCTCTCCTGGCGGCTGCCGTAGCTGCTCTCTTGCTGACGACCACCGTAGCCAGAGCTCTCCTCACGACCGCCGTAGCTGCTCTCCTGCTGACGGCCACCGTAGCCAGAGCTCTCCTCACGACCACCATAGCTGCTCTGCTCCTGGCGACCACCATAACCAGAGCTCTCCTGACGTCCGCCGTAGCTGCTCTGCTCCTGGCGACCTCCATACCCAGAGCTTTCCTGGCGTCCGCCGTAGCTGCTCTGCTCTTGGCGGCCTCCATAACTGCTCTCCTCCTGACGACCACCGTAGCCCGAAGAACTGCCCTGGTACTCGTGGCGCTCGGTGCGCTGCTCGTAACCGCCGCTCTGCGATGGCCGCGTCTCAGTCTTCTCCTCGTAGCCGTGGCCGCTTGTGCGCCCGCCAGACTGTTCTTCCTGCTCGTACTTCTTGTACTCGGTACGGCGACCACCGTCAGGATACTGGGTCTCCGTCTTTTGCGCCTGAGCATACTTGTTGCCAGAATGGCCGTACTCGGTCTGGGTCTGGGTGTACGAGCCATCGTTGTTCTTATGGCTAGAAGAAGTCTTCTCCTTCTCGTCGTTGCCAAAGACCTCTCCGAAGATAGACGAAGCGGCGCCGAGCAAACCTCCTGCGCCAGAGCTCTGCTTCTCCTCCTTCCGCTCAGGCTGCTTGTACGAGGGTACCTTGACGCCAGTCGTCTGCTCAATGATGCCAGAAATGGCACCGGTAGCACCCGTGATGATGGCGCCGGCCGCCTTGTCGGCAACCTTGTCTTCCCACGTTTCGGGCTTGCCGCCGAATTGCTTGTGCATCTGGAGCTTGCCGTTGCAACCGTGGCCGTGACCGGTGTCGTGAACACCGGGCTTGTGGTTCTCATTGTTCTTCACGCCATCACGGCTCAGCTTGCGGCGGTAATCGTCTTGGCCCTGGCGGCCAAGGCTCTCCCACCACTTCTCAATGGAGCCAAATATGACCTTTCTGCCCTCGCTGATGCCGTCGTTGCCCTGGTCACGCTGAGCGGGGTGGTGGAAAACACCATAAATGATGCGGGTCAGGGTCTGGTTGACATCGATGTTCTCGTCATCAATGGCAGACATGATCTGGGGAACAACCCAACCAATCATTTCAGAGGCGGTGCGACCAGCGGGCTCGTTCAGAAGCTGTAGACATTAGTCAACCATACTATGGTTTTGTGCTGCGGTCGGCAAGAGGCTGTGTGCTTACGTTGGTGAAGTGGTCCTTGGAGAGCATGGAGTGAGTGGGGTCGGAAGACCGGTTGTCGTTGAAGACAATGTGCTGCTCACGCTCGCTGCTCTCCACAATCTCCTGCGACCCAGTCTTCATCTCGTTCTGGATCTGATGAATGACAGGCAGAATGAACGGCGCAAGGTTCGTGTACACGAACTTGGTCATCTGCTCCTCCAGCTGCTCGAGAATCTTGGGAAGAACGGGGATCTTCTCAAACTTTTCCGAAATGTTCTGCATGATGTCATCGTGGAACTCAAGCAGAGGCATGATCTGCTTGAAAATGTCCTGGACGTAGCGAGTGAACTCCTCGGGGTCGCGGGGCGATACCTCCATGTTCTGCATCTGAGACGAGTTGCAGTTCTGTTGGATCTCGTCAACCCGGTCGCTCTGGTGCTTTCCTCCAAAGATGCCGTCAGGAATCATGTCAAGGAGGTTGCGGAGCATGCTAGTATCGTTGTTCTTGTTCTCCTGCAGAGTGTTCTCGAGCTCCTGGAGCTCGTTCTGCTTCAGCTTGTCCGTAACTAGAAGCTGTCAGCTTGTGATCATGGAACCCATCGCGCCGAGGTTGCCTCATACCTTCGCCCGTGACAGAGTGAAGAAAGTCGACACCACCGAAGGTGCCGGTGACGAGAGGAAAGACTTGATCGCGAGCACCCTGAAGTCTGATACCGGTATCGCGACCAACGTGGGCGAAGATGTCGCGCTCGCCCTTCTCAATCAGGGCAAGCTCGATGTAGTTGCTGTGGGCGAAAAAGTCTTCGAGGCAGTGAAGACCGGTTCCCAAAAGACGCAGAGCCTCAAAGAGATCCTCCTCCCGCTGGTTGCGGCCGTATTTGCGACCGAGCTCAATGCAGTTGCCCAGAAGGTCGCGAAGAAGCTTGGCAGAAGTCATAATGCCAGCCTTCTCATTCGCAATGTAGTTCTTCATGCCAGTCTCGGGGTCGACGGCCAGCTCGACGCCCTCATCAACGGGACCACGAAGTCGACGGTCATATCGTCTAGCATCCTCGTTATCGGCATAGTTCTTGGGGTTATCGATGTGCTCCTCAGGGCGGTAGCAGCCGAGCCTGTCAGCCGTCACCTGGAACTCCTTCGAGCCATAGCCAAAGGTGAGGAAACCCAGCACGCAGAGAACGAGACGGATGGCCTCAGCAGAGACGGACTTGACAGTGCCGACGTCGACGGCCTGCGAGTAGTCTCGCAGCCAGTTGCCAAAGTAGACGCGCGAGACCATCAGCTTGCTGAAGTTCTTGCCCTTCAGAGCGCGGGCCATAGCAATGTTGAGGAGAGCATCTTCAATGTCACCGTGGCGCCCTGTTCAACATTGATTAGCCCGGATTGAGTACTCGACCGGGCCCCAGAACAGGATGGGAGCAGAAGGAAGAAACGCACAGTTGACGCCTTCGACTTTGGACAAGCTGGCAATGTTACCAGCGCCAAAGGCCAAGGTCGGCTGGGCGAGGCAGACCAGGACGATCAGCCCAACCCATAGGAAGGAAGACGAGGATGTGATCATGACGGCGTTGTATCCTGCTTGATTCTTCGTCCGACTGTCCGACTGTAATTGTATTCGTAACGATATTGGTGTTGGTGACGGAGATGGGGGGCCAAGGTATCAAAATGGAAACTGAGAGGCCCGTGAAAGATGTTGACAAGAAGGTGGGAAAGGCAGAAACGGAGGAGCGGGGTGGAATATAACCAAGGAAAGGACAGAGGAAGAAGGGAAGGAGGGGCTTCGGCGTTTGGCTTCAGGGCTTGGGGCTAACAGGTCTGGATCCTGGTATCAGATGCCAAACAGAAGCAAGCTGATGGTGGGTGCGTTGCGTGGTGAACCGAACGGGAAACAGCAGCATGCCGTACGAGCTGATGGCCAGCGTCGAGACGCTGGTCCTGGGCCTATGGCATCATACCCTTCGACTGGCGCCCAGGAAGAGCAGGAAGCTTGCCTGCAACCCCGCCACTCGCACACTCATCGTTGGAGGGTTTGGAAGGGTTTGGAGGGGTCGGTGGAGGGTCGAAGGAGGGATGAGGGGTGGTGGATGCCGAGCAGGGGTCGAAGAGGGGGCCAAGCTCGGTACATGGCGACTGGCCGAGAGTGCCACACAAATCGCTCGTACCTTCAGCTTTCCATGGTCTGCACCGCCTCTTGGACCAGGGTCTGTGACAAGCTCATCCAAGTCCAAGGAGGGGGTAGGGGTAGGTGGGGGGGAACGCCGCGAGGGCAAGGAGGGCTTCGAATGCCGATCGACACGCTTGGATAGAGGCGATAAGCACATCGCTGCGGGCGCGTATCGACGAGCTGCCCATGCCCAAGTAGCCACCTGCAACGTCGTGAAGCCAGGCAAGCCAGGCAAGACCAGGATGCTGTGCATGCGCGAAAGCCTCGGTAGCCTTGGGAATGGAGAGATTTGCATGATTCGATCAATTCCTGCATCGTGCGAGAATCGCCATTCTCGATATTCTTTATCGCTTTGGATGACGAGGAGACTCGAAGCTTGGGAGCTGCGGGACAAGCTGGTGTCTCGGAACACAAGAACGTTGCAGGCGGCAATCAGTGGTGGACGATCGAAAAGGTGGGTGGGCGGTTGGTGACCAAAGACGTTTCAGTACGAAAGCTTCGTTTATGCTGGAGCTTCAGCAGACCCCATCACTGTCCATTTGCTCCGCTACTCGGCGGTGCCTTCCTGGGACCTGGTGCACTTGAAGTCGCTTGTGGCCAGCCAGCACAAGTGACAATGTCCCAGTCCAGCGTAGTCCAGCGTAGGCCTGCTGGGCAAGGCACTCGCTGAGTTTCGTGTCGTAAGTAATCCGCAGCGATCAGCGGCCAACGAGTGAGTGGCTTGTGTGCCTTGTTCATGTCCTACTTCACGTGCGACGGAACTGCTTGCGACACTGCGGGACACATGTGCAGAACCGACAATGTTACCGTCCCCCGCATGGCGCGTCTGAGCATATGGTCATAGTCATTGTGGAAAATGCGTGCGCCAGTCTGTGTATTTCGCACATGTCTGGTGATGCGGGATACCTGTCGCGTGGTAGATACCGAGCCTATATGTAAGTGAACAAGAAAGAGCAGGGCCGTCTGTTCATGGTAGTCGGTGATTATTGCGCCGTGAGAGCACATCAGCCGCCAAGACCCAGCGGAATGCCCTCTGTTGTGGCCGCCGAGAGGTACACCTCGCTGGAAGGCCCCGAGGACTGGGACTCCACAGCGTCCAGGTCCTCAACTCGCTTCTGGATTCTTTTCCTGCCCGGCTGCCTGAACTCTTCACTGGCCCGGGGCTCCGAGCACTGGGATTTGACTTATCAGAAGAGCTGCAGCACGACCTTCCGCTACCCAATGGGACGCTGCCGTGGCATTTGTCGAGTGTCACAAGAACGCTGTTATTGGAGTACCCGTCAGCGACAGGAACAGCGTGGCCAGCCTGGACAGCGAGAGATCGGGGCTTTTCATCCTGGGGCCTGGCTGGGAGAGCGGGCGGGGGAGAGAATATGCTGATGCCTGAGGCGGGAGCGTGCCAGCTGCCGGTCCCCTCCACCGTCCCCCTCCCCAAGTCCCAAGACTCCCCTCGTCAGTCCCAGCTGCTAGCTCGTACCACATCACTGAATGGCGACCCAGGCCAAGTCACTTAGGGGTAACCTACGTATTGTTCGAGCAATGCATCCCGCGGGTGACCCTTTGGACGTGAGCCCACAGGTCGCATTGGCGACCTCGACAGAATAAAAACAATCTGCATCGTCTGCAAAGTGTCCTCGACAGGTAAAGAGCACGTCGACAGGCAGCCGTAGTGTTGTCGCAGCACTGATGCGGACTGATGATGATTATGTACACATTGGGTACAAACAGGCAGGCAGACAGACGTTGAAAATGGTGAGGCGATGTCAAGCGGGTTGCGGGCGGGGAAGCAGAAGACGCAGGTCACGTTGGTGAGTTGAGTTGGCACTCCGATTTCCATCAGTCAGGTACCGTAGGTAGGCGGGTGGTTGTCGAGCGTTACTGGTATCGTGCATTGTTGGCGGTGCGGTGCGATGGGATGGGGCTTGATCCTTGGACGATGAAGTGAGCCCTGAAGACTCTCACATCAAGGCCGAACGCCTGGTTTCCCAGGTCCATTTGCCCTGAGAGGCGGGTTGCCAGCAGGAAGGCTCGGGATGGGCGGGGGGAGTAGAGGGGGGATGGAAAGGAGTGAATCTTGAGGGCGAGACGTGACGGCGGGGCAGCCCGGATGGGATGGGATCAGTAAAAAACTCTCTCCACCATTTGGCGTTGGGTGGGCTGTAATC